GCACAGTGCCTGTAGGGGGTGTGGTCTCAATAGCCATGCAGTAAGCAGTGTGCTATGGCATGGATATTCAAGTGTACTTGAATGGCATCTGTTTGTTTTAGTCAAGATTATGCTAAAATATACTTTCCCCAACTATATTTAAGTTCCCTATGAAGAGCCGACCTTCAATTTAGAAAATTCCCAGTTTATTCCCGTTAATTCCTGTTAATTCCCGTAAATTCCCGTTCATTCCCGTTCATTCCCGTAAATTCCCGTAAAATCCCGTTCATTCCCGTTCATTCCCGTTCATTCCCGTTCATTCCCGTTCATTCCCGTTAATTCCCATGGAAAGTTTCCATCTTTGAAAATTCCCGGAATTTTGCAACCCTAGTCACAGGTCACAGGTTCAAACCCCACTGCAGTCAGCATGTCGTTGTGTCCCTGAGACACTTCACCCCAAATTGCTCCTGTGGGGATTGCCCACAGCATTGAGTATGTAAGTCGCTTTGGATAAAAGCGTCTAGCAAGTGACATGTGATGTAATGTAATGTAATGTAACTAATGGCTTATTACATGTAGAATATGGTCATTTAGAATAAGGCATTAATAAGTGTTTTATAATGACTAATAAAGAGCCAATATACTGCTAATAAGCATGTTAATGAACAAGTAGTTGGTGGTGAATACGTGCTCTTTAATATAAAGTGTTACCAAACTTATTTTCAGGATCTTTTTTACATGTCTGTTGTCTTGTTTTGACTTCATTGCCTTAAAAAAACGACCACATTAAGATATGTAATCACGCACTAGCCAAGAAAAATAGTAGTAATATTCTTGTTTTGCACTTCAAGGAATGATATTGTAACGGGGAAACACACCAGAATGAAATACAGGTAAAACTATGATGCATAAAATAACAATCCACAAATCAGAAGAGAAAGAAATGCAATAGTAATCTAATCAAACATTATATAGCCTTTAGACAAAAAGCACAATTTGCACTTGTGTTGTGTTGTGTTTTTTAGGTTAGCTTTTTCCATCTTTGTGTACAAAAAAGTGTTGTTTTTCCAAGCTTTTTATACAATTTAAATCCACAATTTATACCGATTTGTCTTCTCTTTCTCCAATATACTGACAATTGTTGTGGGATTTGACCGTTTACAGCAGCAGTTCTTATATTTAAAGGCTGTCTCCTTGATGGGGCTTGGCATTGCACCGAATGTATTATTTTTTACATTTAAAACTTCTGTTGAGGATCTGTTTACATGTCTGTTGTCTAGTGTTGACGTCATCGCCTTAAAAAAAACACCCTTTTTTAATTATAGTGATTTTATATAGTTGATTTCCACCAGACTAAGATTTCTATCATGGGAAACATTGTAGTTAACTTTTCTCTATTTGCATTTTAAGTTAAATCTATAACATAACGTGCCCTTTTGTGCAGCAAGCATAGGAGAAAACAGTGCATGGAGCTCAGTGAAAAAGCAGTTTTTTTAAGAGACTAAACACAACAGAAATGGATTAAAGTAGAATATTTGCTTGGATTAAAACACGTCGGGAACTGATTGCATTTAATGTTGACTTTTAGACTTCAAATCAATATTGAGTTAGTGTAATAATGTGGATTACACACCGGCGCTGAATCAATCCTCTACAGCCACCACTGGCATATAACACCACACATAGAATATCAATATCTGTATCTGCACCAGTGCACAGAAACCAGCTTCAAGCCCAGTTCATAAACGAAGCATTTCAAAGTGGATTTAGACGGATTTGGTGTTAGACCTAAACTACAGACGTCATCGTTAATGTCTAAACGTTTGCGAAGCGTTTAAAAGAGACAAAGACGACACTCAGTGTTTCAGCAGCAGTGACTCATTGTTTCCAGAGTCTCTGCCCTTAATGCTGACTCGGTGAAGGGTTGAACTCTGAGGAGGAGGAAGAGGAAGAGGAAGAGGAGTTTAGAAATGGCTGAGTGTGCTTTTTGGGAGAGGCTGAAGTCTGAGTCCGGGATACAGGGAAAGGGTTAACTGGAGGTCATACAAAAAGAGGTTAAAAGAGTTCATTAGGTTTCTTCTTTAGGTTAAGAAGGGCCGAAAAACCCTTCTTTAAAAAAAAAAAACCTTTTATTAAACTTGTGTTTCTTTAAAGTATTCTTTAAGTATATTACGCCCCTTGTAACACTTTGGGATTACTTTTAGCAATGAAAGGTGCTCTACAAATACAATATATTATTATTATTATTATTATTATTGATCAGAATGAGATACTTTATTTTTTTTATTTAACCTTTATTTAACCAGATAAAAACATTGAGATAAAATCTCATTTTCAATGCTGACCTGGCCAAGAAGGCAGCAACGTTACACATAACACAAACATATAAAATACAGAGAACACAACTAAGAAAACAAAAGACGAAAAAGCAGTCACTACATTGTGCACATTAGGACAATAAAAAAAGTACACTACTTGTTACTGCAAGAGCAGCTGGTGGTGAGGACTTCAGACAACTTCAATTTAAAACATGATATAGAGACAAGTGCCCTCAGTTTAAGGCGTGATTGAAGGTCATTCCAAGACCAAGGACCATAATAAGAAAGACTCCTTTTTCCAGCCTCAGTCCGTACAGCAGGAACCTGGAACCGTATCCAGGCACTGGATCTGAGGTTGTAAGAGTCACAAACTGGGGCAAATCTGACACATATGTAGAGTGGAAGCTTGCATAAAATGGCTTTATACATTAATAAAAACCAGTGCTGCATCCTACGCATAGTAAGTGAGGACCATCCAGTTAGGCTATACAGTGTGCAATGATGAGTCCTATAAGGTGCATTTGATACATCACAGTGCAGCATGGTAGAGTGGGTCAAGTTTGGCCAAAACTGTGGGACAGGCAAATCTATAAATTGTATCACCGTAGTCCAGCTGGGACAGGAATAAGCCAGAGACCAACCTTTTACGGGATGTAAAGGAAGCCAAGAGTGAATTTCAATTTCTTTATCTCGTAGGAGATTGGGTTTTGTGTAAGCTGCTCTATAGAGAGGTGCAGTGACGCGTCCTAAAACCCGGAAGTAAGCTGCTGGTTCCCTCGACAGAAAGCAATGGGATTTCTCCACAGGATTTAGGAAAATAGCTTGAAATAAGGTCTGTGGAAAACGAACCTGTTTGATAAATGCACGTTTTGTTCAGCCGGATATCTCCACATGTCTACCCTACCCTACTGATTAAATAAAAAATGTATACGGACACTAGAAGTTAAAGTATAAAGTCTCATCAAATATAATAAAAATGGGCATATTGTTCTACATTATATTACATGTACATGCATTGACATTGGTGAATTGGTATTCAAATAAAAAATAGATTACATTTTTTATAATATTATTGTATTTAATTATTGCTATGTATTATACAGTAGTGCAGCAACCCTTCTTGACTTTTTCAGGAATACATAAGCATTATAGGGAGACATAGTTTGGAAAGGAATCATCTGAAATATCTTCTTAGCACATTTCAAGCTAAGAAGTGCAAGAAGTGCAAGAAGGTGAGGTGTTTAAAAAAACAAAATCAGTCCCTTTTAGCTTTGTTCATAAAACATACATCAAGAAAAGAGCTTATTTTTTGATACACAAAAGAAAATAAAGAAATATTTACTTAATTTGCTGAACACAGGAAGCAAGGGACATTTTAACATTTTGACTTCAGACGGGACAACTTGAAGCTGAATTAATAAAGTTGTTTTGGCCACTAGGGGGCGGCAGAACACACAGTGTCCATACATGGTTCATTTGAGGTCATCAGGTTTCTTTTAAACTGTCACTTGGGTTATAATCACAATCAGATACTTTATTTGTCTCCGAGGAAATTGGGTTTTATGACAGTTGCTCCATTTAAGAATTAAATACAAATTAAACATATCTAAAAATGCTCCAATCTTTTGGAATTACATTTTTTTTTCATGTAAAAAAAAAAGCCTGCAATAAAATGTGTCTTGTAAAAAATGATATATCTATATAAACATAGGTTAAAGTAAAACGTGCACACTGACCTACATTATATCACCTGTATATATTACAGTTTGTATACAGGTGTATTGCTCTTAATATAAAGTGAATTCGATGTTATTGGTACATATAATAATACAGTAGTCTTCTCAGGAATACATAAGCACTTTAGGGAGACATCTGTACCACAGAAGTAGTTTAGAAAGAGCTCAGAAGCTTGGGAGGTGTTTTAAACAATCTAAAATAAGTCCCTTTTAGCTCCGAAAAAATCTTCTTCTGATATGAAATAGAAAACGACTAATAGTTTTCCATCTAAATGTGCTGTACGCAGGGATCAAGGGATATATATATATTTTTTTTAAAACACTTTCTTTATTGTTTTTAGCATACACCATATATAAGACAGTACACAAACATCCACATCTTTCTGTGTTCTTGTGGGTAACATCCTAACAAACAAAACACGGGCTTCATGATAAACTGCAATGATAAAATCTCTTCCATCATACATTTGACCTTTTACATTTTTTACGCATCAGCCAGTTATATTTTAAGAGCTTAAGACGTTTATTCGCTGTTTTTGTGATTGAGCTTTCTTACAGGAACCTTCCCACTCATCAATTTAAATGCCTTCCTTCAAATCCTCCCTCCAATTTCTAAGTTTAGCTTTGGAGGAGTCAGGGGAGCCAGATATAAGCAAGTTATAAAGTGCAGAAATTAAGTTTTCCCTCCTACAGTCAGGGATATATATTTTTTGGATTTACCTCATGACAACAGGATAGGTTTGGCCACTAGGGGGCGACATAACTCTGCTTGTTAATCATCACACCTTCTACAGGAGGGGGGATTCCTTCTGCAATCCCATCATTAATCAGCTGTTTCTTGAAAACTCCCGTTACTACCACTTAAGGTTTCTGTCTCTGAACTGGAATGGTTTTATTGATTTTATTGCTGATTGAATTCCTGATTGTATGAATGTTAACCCTCCTCTCTCCCTTTGTGTCCCTGCAGTACCAGGTGGGTCAGCTGTATGCCGTAGCAGAGGCCAGTAAGAATGAGACTGGTGGGGGAGAAGGAGTCGAGGTTTTAGCAAACAAGCCGTATGAGAAGGATGGGGAGAAGGGACAGTACACCCACAAGATCTACCACCTGCACAGGTAAGCTGTGTACATAATATCCTACTTCTATATTGTGTTAGCTGTAATTTAGCCCGTCGATTGTGTTTTATTTGTCAGATTTTTGTCAGTTTACATAGTTATTCAATCATCTTGCATCTTTTCACTCTTTAGTCTATTTTGAGATGTTTATATTTTCTACTTCTTTATTTTCTACTCTTTTTTTTTTTATTTCAAATTATGTACAATACTTAGTTTTACATGCTGCTGCAACAAAAACATTTCACAATTTGGGATTAATTAAGTATAATTTATCCTATACAAAATACAAAAGTAGATTAAAGGTGGGGTAGGTAAGTTTGAGAAACCGGCTCGAGATACACTCTTAACATCCCGATAGCAATGAATATCTTAAAGTGGACCTATCATGCTATATTATAATAATATAGTGTAGGACCATACCTATATAAGGCATATTTATACTTTTTTTTTTTCAAAATACCAAACAGATCATGCATTTTAGCCATGCCTCATTTCGCTCAATTTGCACTTTGTTAGATCTGTTTTAGCAAGGGCTGTTTCTGTGAGAACAGCACCATCTACAGGCCTGGCATATGTACTACAGCGTCTCCAGCGCTTTCGAACGGCAATGGCCGTGGCTGTCTCCTCCTGATTGGTGGAGTTGGCCCAATAGCCGTAGCGCCACCGTCCTGACGTCAGGACAGTGTTCAAATCTGGATCAGTTTTTATCAGATCCGTTGCAGCCCCTTTTTTAGAGATTTGGGTATGGAGGAAAATAGAGAGGGTTGTGTTTTCTGACACTTGGTGAGTTCCCTGGAACACCGGGGACACATATTCATGTATACAAGACGTACAAAAGTGCATTTTGCATGATAGGTCCCCTTTAAGTGCTTTGACAAAAAATCCATAAAAAAAATGTCATCTGTGGAAGCCGTGGTACTGTAAAAAGCACGACCAATCATGTGTGTGTGTGTGTAGTAAAGTGCCGGGGATCATCAGGAAGCTCGCTCCCAAAGACTCTCTGGTGGTTCACGAGGAGGCGTGGAACGCATACCCTTACTGTAAAACAGGTGAGACACACACACACACACACACACACACACACACACACACACACACACACACTCACAATCTGCGCTTCTTACAGTAAACACACACTCCAGCTCTGTGTGTGTGTTAATAACTCCTTCTCTTTCTGCTCCTCTCTCCCCATCGCCCTGCACCGTTCCCTCTGATGCAGTCCTAACTGTGAGTATATTATTTGTTTATTTAACTAAGTTTTATGACTTTAGGGAGAAGAATTCCTAAATGAAATTGATTTAGTAAGATGTTATGGATATGTAGAGGCCTGATTATGCACATGATGTTGCTCATTCCTGTTTACAAACTGTAATTCATCATAATGTTGTTGACTGATCTTATCCTGTATCTCTCTGTTGTTTACAGAACGTCTACATGAAAGACAAGTTCAGCATCACCATCGAGACGTGGCACAAGCCTGATATGGGCGACCAGGAAAATGTAAGATTCAAGTTTCAAAGCTTTATTGTCATGTCAGCAGCTACAGTGTAGATGTGGCAATGAAAAACTGAAGTCCCAGGCTCCTCCAACAGAGCAGCATGAATATATATATATAGGACATACAACTGATCAAACAGATGAAATAGTGCAAGAGACTGTTTTGAGATGTGCAAATAGTCCAAGAAGAGTCTACATACAAGTACATGGAATCTGATATATAGATAAATCATTTGCAAGATGCAAACAGATGAATGTTTATGGATGTTCTTTACAGATAAATTATGTCACACGTTGTTTTCATATTTCCTCCAAAGAAGCTGTATATCACTTCTACTACTACTTCTAATATGTTGTTCAGAATATGTATCCTTGTATTTGTGTTGAAACGCACACAACTAATGAAGCTAATGTGCTGATATCACAACCAAGTGTGTGTGTTTCATATCTCCCTTTCCTCTTCCAAACCTCTGACCTCTTGGTTCTGATTCGCTGCAGGTTCACGGCCTGGAGAAAAGCAAATGGGATAAAGTGCAGATAGTCGACATCGACATCGCTGACAAAAGTAGCATAAGTCCAAAGGTAAGAGTCCTCTGCATGTTCTCAAAAACAAGTCCATGTTTTATGTTTCACGTCATCTTTAAAACCCTCTGGTTGTATTCGCTGAGGTTGCTTCATGTTTGTGTTTCTGCTCCGTGATTGTGATTGTTCTTCTTTCTTTAGGATTACAACCCAGAACACGATCCGGCCATCTTTAAGTCGGTGAAAACGGGCCGAGGGCAGCTGGGACCGGAGTGGAAGGTGAGAGGAGGACATGTTTGTTTATCAGGACTACAGGAAAAGTACTGCTCCTAAAATTATAAATAGTAGTGAATAGGGATGCCAGAAACTGACCATGATCAAATTCGAAAATCGGACAGCCCTGGCGAATATTAATCGATTATTCGCCGACCCCCGCGGAAGAGAAAAAAAAAAAGTTTTTTCGCAGAGCTTGCATTTTTACTTAATTTGCACTTCCAGTAGTTCCACGAGGAACTCTTCTTTGTTCATCTTTAGTTGTGTTGTTCTCACTGTTCTGTATATCGCCAATAAATCAATCGCACGTGTGACGGAGAAGGGGTGGGGGGGGCGGGGTCGGTGTGCAGCAGGCAGCACTCTGCGCTGGCTTCCTCCAAGTTTACAGTAAAACAAACTGGTGGTGTGACCAATGGCCATTTACAATTATTAATACTATTACTATTATTAGCATTAGTCTATATTTTGGTTGAAACTAAGCCAGGAAAAAAAAGAAAAACATAAATAATAATAAAAATATATATAAATAAAATCGAATTTTAAAAATAATCTTCGATTATGGAGACTGTAACGAATATTCGAAAAATCGAATAATCGCTGGCATCCCTAGTAGTGAAGAAGAAGAAGAAGAACCTTTATGCATCCCCCGTATTCAGTTTTCTCTCTGGCTTATACATTGTTTTGTGCTGCATTGGGGGTCGGGTGATATTAAAATCCTCCTACTGGTTATATGAAAGAAAACTATGTATATGATCTTATTGTCCAACAATAACTGAAACTAGAGACGCATTTAGAAATATGTTGGAGTTTTACTCGGTAAATATACCAAGTTGTTAAAATACTCTGGTACAAGAAAAAGTCCTGCATTAAAATCTAACTTGGAAGTATTGGCATCAAAATATACTCCTAATTTACCAAAAATACAAATACTTGTTACGTTAACATTTCAGAATCATGTATATTATATTTCTGGATTATGATTATTAATGTGTTCATAATTGAAATGACTTTGTTAATTCTCTTTTCCACTTTTTTAAGTATTTTGAGTATTTGTATTTTAATGTCTGAACACACTTCTGCTTCTCTGACGAAATAATTTCCCAAATTGGGATCAATAAAGTGTCTGTGTGTCTGTCTGTCTGTCTGTATGTGTCTGTCTGTCTGTCTGTCTATCTGTCTGTCTGTCTGTCTGTCTGTGTGTCTGTCTGTGTGTCTGTCTGTTGTGTGTCTGTTGTGTGTCTGTTGTGTGTCTGTTGTGTGTCTGTCTGTCTGTCTGTCTGTCTATCTATGTATGTCTGTCTGTGTCTGTCTGTGTCTGTCTGTCTGTCTGTGTCTGTCTATCTATGTCTGTCTGTCTGTGTCTGTCTGTCTGTCTATCTATGTCTGTGTCTGTCTATCTGTCTGTCTGTGTCTGTCTGTGTGTGTCTGTCTGTCTGTCTGTGTCTGTCTATCTATGTCTGTGTGTGTCTGTCTGTCTGTCTGTCTACGGAGTACAAAGTATAATATTGGCTTCTAAAATGTAGTGTTTTCTCAGGTAAAGTGCCTAAAATGGTATTTAAGAACAGTACTTTAGTAAATGTACTTTATTACAGTACACCACAGTGCTGTTCCAGTAAAAGTGTGTGTTTTGATGTGTCCTGTGTGTTTTGATGTGTCCTGTGTGTTTTGATGTGTCCTGTGTGTTTTGATGTGTCCTGTGTGTGTTTTGATGTGTCCTGTGTGTGTTTTGATGTGTCCTGTGTGTTTTGATGTGTCCTGTGTGTTTTCATGTGTCCTGTGTGTTTTGATGTGTCCTGTGTGTTTTGATGTGTCCTGTGTGTGTTTTGATGTGTCCTGTGTGTTTTGATGTGTCCTGTGTGTGTTTTGATGTGTCCTGTGTGTTTTGATGTGTCCTGTGTGTGTTTTCATGTGTCCTGTGTGTTTTGATGTGTCCTGTGTGTGTTTTCATGTGTCCTGTGTGTTTTGATGTGTCCTGTGTGTGTTTTGATGTGTCCTGTGTGTTTTGATGTGTCCTGTGTGTGTTTGCAGAAAGAGCTGGCTGATAACCCTGACTGTCCTCACATGTGCGCCTACAAGCTGGTCTCTGTAGAGTTCAAGTGGACCGGCCTGCAGACGGCTGTGGAGAGCGCCATCCACAAGGTAAACAAACATTGTTTATGTTACATGAGGCAATAATGAATGCAATTAAAGAGGAGTAAACAGAAGTGTTGGTGCAGCATTTTTTTTAAATAAATAAATGTATAAGCGTTGTACGGGCCCTCGCTTCCCGCGCCAGTCGTTTTTTGCGCCCCCTATGGGTCAGGATAATAATGCTTTGGTATGCATATTCCCCAATACAGTCTGAGCATGTACACCAAAATGATGATTGGATAAATTGTTGATGAGTTATGAGAATTTATTTGTAAGCCCCATTCACATTATGCTAATTAGCTAAACATCTAAGTAGGCGGAGCTTAGGGGTACCATTGGGTTTTGTGTAGAGCTCATAGGTAGAGCTCCTTCACCTGAATATGTGTGCCAAGTTTCAAGTCCATCGGCGCTACACTATACAGACAAAAGTGTTGGGACAGTCCTCTGAATCATTGAATTCAGGTGTTTCGTTCAGTCCCATTGCCACAGGTGCAGAACAATCAAGCACCTAGCCATGCAGTCTGCCTTTACAAACATGTGTGAAAGAATGGGTCCTTAAAGGCCTGGTTGGATGAGTTTGGTGTGACTTGACCTCAACCCCATTGAACACCTTTGGGATGAACTAGAACGGTGAGCCAGCCTCTCGTCCAACATCAGTGTCTGACCTCACTAATGCTCTTCTGGATGAAAGGGCTTCCCACAGACACACTCCAAGATCTGTAGAAAGCCTTCCCAGAAGAGTGGAAGCTGTTGTAGCTGCAAAGGGGGGACCGACTTCATATGAATGCCTAAGAATTTGGAATTGGATGTCATAAAAGCTCCTGTAGGTGTAATGTGTAGGTGGCCCAATACTTTTGTCTATATAGTGTATCTTGAGAGATTTAAGGCCTTTCAAAACTTGTCTTCAGTAGGGGGCGCTAGTGAGCATGCTGTAGAAATCCGAGAACTGATCCTCGAAATGTATAAATAAATACAGGAATAACATAGAATATATAAGAATACATGAATAACAGGGTTCCTACGGTCATTAAAAACCTGGAAAAGTCATGGAAATTCAAAATGCTAATTCCAGGCCCTGGAAAAGTTATGGAAAACAATATTTTTTCCAAAGTTTTGGAAAAGTAATGGAAATGTAACTAAAGTTGCATAAAATATAATTTATATTTGATCTAATCGCCGAAATAGTGTATCGTATAGTAATGAAACGTAAAATGGCATTTAACTGACGAGGTGTTTTGCTGGTGAGAGATTTTAGTTGCTTTAGCCTGTAGAAGCTAGTAAGCCTATTTGATTTGTTTTAGATAGGCACAACATGTTTCATATGCAGACCTTATTTTCCTGTTCCATTTTCAGTGGTACCGCTGAGAAAGAGTCATTTTTTTGGTCATGGAAAATTAGGTAAAGGTCCTGGAGAAGTTATTGAAAAAAATCATTGGTGAAAAAGTGTATGAACCCTGTAATAAGTAAATGGTTTTGAGGCAGATTAATGATTGCAATCGAAGACTCCTTGCTGCTGAATACCAATCAACTATGTGCAATATGTGCAATATATATATGCCGTTAATATCTGTGTAATTTATAACTGGCTGCTAAATCCTTAGAACCGTTACAAGGTGTGTATTTTGCATTTTGTATTTTGTAAATTGTGTAACTTGCTGCTGTTAAATACCATCAAACTATGTGCAATATGTGCTATATGTGCAATATATACATTATATACATATGCCATTAATAACTGTGTAATATATACCTGGCTGCTAAATCCTAAGAACTGTTACAGGATTTGTGTTTTGGAAAGTATGTAACTTTCTTTTTTTTAACTTTAAAAAAAAAATTATATTTGTATTATCTCATAACTTAGTACTTTTTTTAACATATGTAACATTAAGCTGTCTGTGGCTCTTTCCTGCTGTAACGATGCACATTTCCCCTCTGTGGGACTAATAAAGGGATTCTGATTCTGATAAGTAAACAGATGTGTTGTAGTAATTTGATTTACATTTCCCCATGTAACTAATATCTGAATCTCTGTTTCCTCACACACCTGTCGGGGGTTTCCAGATAGAGAAGCGTGTTTTCACACACTTCCACAGACAGCTGTTCTGCTGGATCGATAAATGGATCGATCTGTCGATGGACGACATCCGACGCATGGAGGACGAGACGAAGGCACAGCTGGATGATGTGAGACATGAACCACTTTAATTTCTAAATTAATTATTTCATTTTTATTAGTATTGCCTTATTTTGGTTTTATTTTGGTTTTATTTTATAGGTGTTTATATTTTTATCCTATTTATTGATTTTGTCGCACTTTTATTTGACCGAGAGGGATCACCATTTCATCGTGTTTAATTTTTTCTCCATGTCACAGATGAGGAAGAATGATGAAGTGAAAGGCCTGGGAGCCGATGGAAACTGACCTGTGTGAGTATTCAACATTTTATATAAGATTAAGACTAAATAAAAGTCATTCTAAATCCATTTATTCATGATCAAATGTTAACCCGTGAAAACTACTGTATAAATATGTTATTATATTAAAGGTATTTGTTTTATTACTATTACTTTTATTTAAATTGTTATTAAATGACATTTTTTTTAATACAAAATAAATAAGTGCAGGCAATAATTTGAAACTAAATGGTAAATGTAATAATTGTATTTAATTTAGTTTGAATTAATTCCACATTTATTTACACCTCTGATATTTTATTTCATTTATCAATTTTTATTTACTTGTGAGTATATTTTCTAAATGTTTCTATTCATGATCAAATGTATATATCATTCTATAAAAAACCCTAAATCATTATAATGATCAACCCGTTCTGTTCCCTCCTCAGATCCCTCTCTTCCTCGGACTCTGGAGCGGCTTCATGGGAATAAACAAGAACAGAACACCTCCAAACTAATAAAACCTGCTCTTAATAAGAGCTTATATTATTGGCAGCAGCAGTTGTGTGTATTTATCGAATATATATTTGAGTACAGCAGCGTTTTTAAGGGAGTGTTTTACGAGTTACAGGATTATTTCTGAGGATGAAACGTTCTTGTTTACGCCCATTTATCTATTTTAACATATTAAGAAAGGTGTGGGATGTCTCTCGTCTGATAACTGTTATCTTTCATTTTTTAATTGCAGTTATTTTGGGTTTTTTCTTGATTTTTTTTATGCATCATTTCTCAGTGATTTGTTTTTATTTATTCTTAAATATGGTGTCTCCTGTCGACACCTGCAAATGCTCCGGTTACTAGGATATTGTTTCTTAAATAATTCACTCAAATAATGCATTTTTCAGGACCGTCTGATCTCACAATGTGCCCTTATTGCTGTCAAACTGAAATGTTCATTTGATTCATCATCACATGGTGGATGGAGGCATTGCAATACGAATAAAGCTCATGATTTATGTAGAAACTCATGCATATGACGTGTTTTCTTTGAAAAGAGACATTAGTAGTAGTCTGGTTATCCTCTTCCGGTTTAACTCTATACAAAAACACCAGCTACTGTTCTGTGATTAAGGTTTTGGGTTGACTTTGTGAGTGTTTGTGATGAAGTGCAAAACAACTAATCTCTAAACTAAGAAGATGGACAGTTTGAGAGTTTGACCTCTGTACGTCTTGTCCTGTGTCGAATGAAAAAACTTGGATTTGTATGACTTGAGTTATATGATTGTGTACTAGTTTATTAAAGACAATGTATTTGTGCCTTGATTTTTGTATATTTTCACACCTTACTTCTGCTGGAAAGAGCAAACATTGCATCCTCATGTTTTACTTTTCACTACAGATCAGAAACAACAGCTTTATTATGAGCTGCCGTCACAAATGATCACTTTTTTTTTATACCAAATTGCAGGTATTTACATTACTTCAATCAGGAGAGACGTTGATGTATGGAATACATATTTATTACCGGGACACGTAAAAGGAATGAATAATGATTGCCACAATTATAACAGGAGAATAAAATGGTGTTTGGCGATTAGTTTGCAGGATAATCATTCAGGAGGGGGAAGAACCGCTCCGATGAAACCCCCCGGGGTCTAGACACTGGTGGTGGTGATAAGTAGGTGGGAACGGACTGCAGGGAGAAGGTTTAGCTTGGTCCTGAAGGAGACAGGAGGCGAAAGGGGTGGAGGAGGGTTGCAACTTCGTCACCTGAAATGACAGCTGGCAGAGGGAAGAGCAGATATAAAAGGGATTAGCGGGAGCTATGATAGGCTTGTGAGAATGGAGAGAGGAGAGATTGGTTAGCTGGGGAGTGACGCCCCTGATCACTTAATGAGTAAGGAGAGAGGAGAGATTGGTTAGCTGGGGAGTGACGCCCCCGATCACTTAATGAGTAAGGAGAGAGGAGAGAGTAGGCTTGTTTGAGACAAGCGAGACCTGCGCAGACCTGCGCAATTGCGATCAACGTCTTGCTTGTGCGTTGCATGATGGTTAGTCATTTTGTCCGACTTGCTCTGGAGGCTCGCCTACATGAGACGTTGAAATCTCGCGGGACAAAGACGCCCGCAGACTTGAGAGCGAGGCGCGGCGAGGCGGCGCAGTTTCTCTCCACGGGCTGCGGAAGCGAAATGCTTGATGGGAAACGACTTGCTGGTACCTCGAGCTGAGCGCTCATTGGTGGGTTTTACCCCGTGCTGGTGATGAAACTCTCCATTGGCTCGGCAAAAGTGTGTTGTTGTTTTGTGTCAGTTTTACGTCGCCACTTCCATTCACATTTTTCATTATTGTTCCACAATGTTTATCATCATTAAATTAATATCTATATATTTGTATACTATACTTGCACTGCTTACCGTTGTCATACTTTATATATCTTAGCATATTCATACAACACTCTGTTCATACTAGGCTAGGCTACTGTGTATATATAGTGTATTCATACCCCTCACTGTTTATTCATCATTCAATTCATTCTATATATTATTCTGTAGATTGTGTACATTACTTTTCACTTTACTGCTTTATGCACTCCTGGTTAGAAGCTAAACTGCATCGTTGTCTCAGTACCTGTAATCTGTGCAATAACAATAAAGTTGAATCTAATCTTGAGCAGGAACAAATGTATTTACTTAGTACATATCTGACATTAACGATTAAACACATTTGTCCATTCTTTATCAATCAATCAATCAATGTTTATTTATAGCCCAATATCACAAATGTTACATTTGTCTCAGTGGACTTCACAGTTTGTACAGAATATCAGTATGACAATACGACACCCTCTGTCCTTACGTTTCACATCATACAAGGAAACACTTCCAGAGAAAAACCCACAGTTTAAAGGGGAAATGGGAGAAACCTCAGGGAGAGCAACAGAGGGATCCCTCTCCCAGAACGGAGTCGGACATTTATAACTGCAAACCGAGTCAAGCCGACTCCGGAGGTGGCGGTATGCACCTTAAAGTTGTTTGAAATCCGCCAAAAAACCGAGAGAAGAAGAAGAAGAAGAAGAAGCCGACTCCGAGCTGTCCGACTTCAGGCGAGCTTTTTGAGACCTCCCCCGGCTGCGATCGGCTATTCTCGTCTACTTTCGAGGCGAGCCGCAGCTCGTCTCAAACAAGCCTATTGGTTAGCTGGGGAGTGACGCCCCCGATCACTTAATGAGTAAGGAGAGAGGAGAGATTGGTTAGCTGGGGAGTGACGCCCCCGATCACTTAATGAGTAAGGAGAGTGTAATGTGGTGACGTGTAATCTGAATGAAGAGCTTGGTCTTCCTGATTGAATTTACGCTGAGCTTCATAAGTTATCCATTTGATCGCTTGTGTCATTCCTCCTGCTACATTCAGACATGTTTTACTATTTCAGAAGAAAATAAGTGTGTGTGTGTGTGTGTGTGTGTTCAATTATTGCTTGAATCGGAAGAAACGACAACTAAACTTGAAGCTTGAATCCACAAATAAACGTTATCAGAACTTACTTTCGGAATTATTTCAGAAGGAAATTATTAGAATAATACATCAAATCAAAGTTTATTTTTCTAGCCCAATATCACAAAACATGTGGGCTCTCCATACTAATAAACATAGATGACCGTGTGAAATAAAGTATAAAAACATGAAATAATTTGAAATACAATTAAAACAAATAAAAATAGAACAAAAAGACAGAACAAACAATACCAGATGCCATTAAATGTAGGACTCAGGAGGACAAACATGGGGAATAATCTAAAACCAGCTCTAACAAATTAAGCTCAGTGCAAGTTCAACCATCTTTACTCATTAATTTACTATTTCCATGTTACTACTCTCTCTCCTCTCAATAAGTGATTGGGGGCGTCACTCCCCAGCTTAACCAATCACTTCGCTCTATTCTCACAAGCCTATCATAGCGCTCCGCTAAACCTTTTAAATCTGCTCCCCCCTCTGACAGCTGTCATTTCAGGTGACTCGACGCAACCCTCCTCCACCCCTTTGCACCTCCTGTCCCTCTGAATCCAGGGTCAAGCTAAGCCCCTCCCCTTCTGACCGACCCCAACTATCCATTCACCACCACCAGTGTCTAGACCCCGGAGGGTTTCATCAGATCAGTTCTCCCCTCCCGAATGATACTCCTGCACAACGGGGCCTAATCGCCAAAACTCCATTACATTCATTTGTGTATTCCTGCCAATAAATATATTCTTACATCAAAACTGTCTCTCCTGATTGAAAAGGCTTTGTTGAAAAGGAAGTGCTTCAACAAGCTCTTAAATGTTGATAAAAACAGGACGTTGGTTAAGAGATTTTTGTGATATTGTGGAGAAAGAAGGCAGTAAGTGAAAATTACAAGTTCTAGTTACTTATTTAAAGCAGTGAAGTGTAATAAAATATATCTCCTCAAGTATTGTCCTCAAGTGAAATGTTAAAGTACTTGTAGCCTACATAACCTGGGTATTTTGATTTATGGTCACTTTTATTCCTACATTTTAGGAGCCAATATTGACCGTTTTACTACATTTATGAGGTTATACAAACAATGCATCAACTAATAAATGGACATATATGTTAAGATATCCAGCATCATTATATAAACACATTTAGATAAGCTCACTTGTACTAGTATTGCCACTTAAGTACAACATCTGAGTACTCGTCTCTTTAGCTCACAGCGTTGTGCGAAATTATTTTGCGCTTTTATTTTGAAGGCAACTGGTATGTTTCCGGTTAAGGGGGCGGTAATTAATGTATTAACTAAAGATATAATAATATATTTATTTAAAGTGGACCTATCATGCTATATTTGAATAATATAGTGTAGGACCATACCTATATAAGGCATATTTATACTTTTTTTTTTTCAAAATACCAAACAGATCATGCATTTTAGCCATGCCTCATTTCGCCCAATTTGAATTTTTTTAGCTCTGTTTTAGCAAGGTTCAAGGTTCAAGGTTCAAGGTTCTTTATTGTCAATCTGACATAGCTACAGAGTAATTATGCAGTTGAAAATCTTATGTCACAGGCTTCTCCAACAATGCAACATAATAACATAACATAATAACAATAAGAGCAAGAGCAATACAAAAATAATAATAGTTATAAAAATGAAATAAAGTTATGATGTGGAATAGTGCAGTATGAGTCTATATACAAGTTATTGGAATGATATATATATATTAGGTATTAGATACATACTACTGAGTAGCAGTTGAATGTTTGAAGTTGTTTCAACAGTTCAATTTTTTAACAGTCTCACTGCCCGCGGGAAGAAACTGTCTCCGAATCTTCTTGTCCTTGCCAGGATGCTGCGGTAACGTCTGCCAGACGGCAACAGAAAGAACAGTTTGTGGCTGGGGTGATGGGGGTCTTTGATAATCCGTAGTGATTTCTTCCTGAGCCGCTGGGAGTAAAGGTCCTCCATGGATGGCAGCTCCGTCCTGGTGATGTGCTGTGCAGTTTTCACCACCCTCTGTAAAGCCTTACGATCGAGGTCGGTGCAGCTGCCGTACCAGGCCGTCATGCTGCCAGTGAGGATACTCTCTATCGTGCACCTGTAGAAGTTGCAGAGTATCCTGGAATCCATTTTGAACCTCCTCAACCTGCGGAGGAAGAAGAGCCGCTGTCGAGCTTTCTTGGTGATGGTGGTGGTGTGAAGAGACCATGTCAGGTCCTCAGTGATGTGGACCCCAAGGAACCTGAAGCTTTTGACTCTCTCCACCGTAGTCCCATTGATGGCGATGGGGGCGTGTCCCTCTCCCTGCTGCTTCCTGTAGTCCACAATCAGCTCCTTTGTTTTGCTGATGTTGAGATGGAGGTTGTTCTCCTGGCACCAAGATGTCAGGTTTTCGACCTCCTCTCTGTACGCCGTCTCGTCATCGTCTGTGATCTGGCCGATGACGGTCGTGTCATCAGCAAACTTCACGATGGTGTTGGAGCTGTGTGTGGCCACGCAGTCGTGGGTGAACAGGGAGTAGAGGAGAGGGCTGAGCACGCAGCCTTGAGGGGCACCGGTGTTGAGAATCAGGGTGGAGGATGTGATATTTCCCACCCGCACTGCCTGGGGTCTGCCCGTCAGGAAGTTCAGGATCCAGTCACAGAGGGCGCTGTTGAGCCCGAGGTCTCTGAGCTTGATGGCCAGCTTGGAGGGCACAATGGTGTTGAATGCTGAACTGTAGTCAATGAACAGCATTCTCACATATGTGTTCCTGTTCTTCGGGTCCAGGTGTGAGAGGGCAGTGTGGAGGGTGAGGGCTATGGCGTCGTCTGTGGACCTGTTTGCTCTGTAGGCAAACTGCAGGGGGTCCAGAGATTCAGGGAGGGAGGAGGTGATGAATAATTTGACTAACCGCTCAAAGCACTTCATTATGATGGAGGTGAGTGCTACTGGGCGGTAGTCGTTGGGGCAGGTGATGATTGTCTCTTTGGGGACAGGAATGATGGTGGAGTGTTTAAGACATGTGGGGACTACAGACTGCAGCAGGGACCTGTTGAAGATGTCTGTGAACACCTCTGCCAGCTGAACTGCACACACCCTGAGAACACGGCCAGGGATGCCATCAGGTCCAGGAGCCTTGTGTGGGTTAACCCTTTTAAAGGATTTACACACATCTGCCCTATTTAAAACAAAAGGGCAGTGTAGCTCCTGGTCCCTCTGTACCTCCACAGCCTGGCTGCTCTCAAAGCGTGCAAAACAACTGTTTAGCTCATCTGGGAGAGATGCGCACGCAGACACTCCCGCAGCACCCCCCGCTGCTCCTTTGTAGTCAGTCATTGTCCTTAGTCCCGCCCACATATTCCTAGTGTTACAGCCTTTGAAGTCAGATTCCACCTTGTCTTTGTACTGTCTCTTTGCATTTTGAATTGCTCTCCGGAGATCATACCTAGACTTCCTGTACTCCTCCAAATCTCCCGCTGTGTGCGCGAGAGTGCGCGCTTTCAGTTTGCCGCGCACCTCACCGTTTACCCAGGGCTTTTGATTTGGGAATGTCCGTACAGAAACCTTCGGTACCACGTCATCGATGCATTTCCCAATGTAGCAGATGACAGTGTCCGTGTGTGTGTTGATGTTATTGTCCTCAAACACACTCCAATCCGTAGATGCAAAGCAATCCTGCAGTGCTGCATCTGACTCCTCGCTCCATCGTTGTACTGTCCTTGTTATCGGTCTGTCCCTTTTAAGTTTCTGCTTGTACGCAGGCAACAACAGTAGTGAGATATGGTCTGATTTGCCGAAGGGAGGGCGAGGGAGAGCCTTATATCCATTCCGGAAAGGGGAATAAACATGGTCCAGTATGTTTCCCCCGCGCGTCGGGAAGTTGATGTGTTGGTAATATTTTGGCAAAACCTTCTTCATGTTGGCGGTGTTGAGGGCTGATTCTGGGCTGATTCTGTGAGAACAGCACCATCTACAGGCCTGGCATATGTACTACAACGTCTCCAGCGCTTTCGAACGCCAATGGCCGGTGGAGTTGGCCCAATAGCCAATAGCCGTAGCGCCACTGTCCAACGGCTATTGGGCCAACTCCACCAATCAGGAGGAGACAGCCACGGCAATGGCCGTGGCTGTCTCCTCCTGATTGGTGGAGTTGGCCCAATAGCCGTAGCACCACCGTCCTGACGTCAGGACAGTGTTCAAATCTGGATCAGTTTTTATCAGATCCGTTGCAGCCCCTTTTTTAGAGATTTGGGTATGGAGGAAAATAGAGAGGGTTGTGTTTTCTGACACTTGGTGAGTTCCCTGGAACACCGGGGACACATATTCATGTATAAAAGACATACAAAAGTGCATTTTGCATGATAGGTCCCCTTTAAGTTAAACATCTCAGTACAATTTACCTCACAGTGTTACGCTTTTATTTTGAAGCGAAATCATGTTGCGCTTTTATTTTGAAGGCAACTAGTATAGCTCCGGTTAAGGGGCGGAAACAACAACACTAGCTTCTGTCCTGCGGTTTGTTTACTGTCTGTTTTCAAAGTGTAGAAACTAAACCAGAGAAAACAGGAACTACCAAAGTATATCGAGGAGTACACGAAACGCTTCCTCACGTTTACAGGTCAGTCATTCAAATAATAAGAGTTTGTAGAAAAAAGCGTGTTTTAGCTAGCTGTTTGATGAAGCTAGCTTTCAGTTTATCAGCATCACTAGCTAGCGTCATATGACAGCTGTTGATCATAAGCTCAATGTAAATACATGCTAACAGCTATCTAAAAATAACTGAGATTAATCACGTGTTATCTGCTAAAAGCACTTTGTTGTCAACCCTCAGCTCTATCTCAAATAAGAGGCTTTAGTTAGCGTTTCTATCTGCAGAGGTGTAAAGTAACTAAGTACATTTACTCAAGTACTGTACTTATAGGTAGGCTTCTTGTACTTTAGTATTTCCATTTTATGCTACTTTGTACTTTTACTCCTCTACATGTATTAATACATTTAGTTACTTTACAGATGTGGATGAATGATGTGAAATCTAATCAAGTGTTAAATCAGACTTTAGTTCCACCTGGAGTAAATCCACAAGCTACCCTGCAGTATACAAAGTCAATCAAACTAGCTGCACCTTTACCAGCTTTGAGAACACTTTAATGATCAATCATTATAAAACATATCATATATATTATTCTGAAATGGACCAATCTGCACAATGACTACTTTTACTGTCGCTACTTTCACTATATTTTGATGATAATACTTTTCTACTTTTACTTGAGGAACATTTTGAATGCAGTACTTTTACTGTAACAGAGTATTCCTACACTCTGGTACTTTTACTCAAGTACACGATCTGACTACTTCTACTTTTACTCAAGTACAAGATCTGAGTACTTCTACTTTTACTCAAGTACAAGATCTGAGTACTTCTACTTTTACTCAAGTACAAGAACTGAGTACTTCTACGTTTACTCAAGAACAAGATCTGAGTACTTCTACTTTTACTCAAGTACAAGATCTGAGTACTTCTACTTTTACTCAAGTACAAGAACTGACTACTTCTACTTTTACTCAAGTACAAGATCTGACTACTTCTACTTTTACTCAAGTACAAGATCTGAGTACTTCTACTTTTACTCAAGTACAAGATCTGAGTACTTCTACTTTTACTCAAGTACAAGATCTGAATACTTCTACTTTTACTCAAGTACAAGATCTGAATACTTCTACTTTTACTCAAGTACAAGATCTGAGTACTTCTACTTTTACTCAAGTACAAGATCTGAGTACTTCTACTTTTACTCAAGTACAAGATCTGAGTACTTCTACGTTTACTCAAGAACAAGATCTGAGTACTTCTACTTTTACTGAAGTACAAGATCTGAGTACTACTACTTTTACTCAAGTACACGATCTGAGTACTTCTACTTTTACTCAAGTACAAGATCTGAGTACTTCTACTTTTACTCAAGTACAAGATCTGACTACTTCTACTTTTACTCAAGTACAAGATCTGACTACTTCTACTTTTACTCAAGTACAAGATCTGACTACTTCTACTTTTACTCAAGTACAAGATCTGACTACTTCTACTTTTACTCAAGTACAAGATCTGAGTACTTCTACTTTTACTCAAGTACAAGATCTGAGTACTTCTACTTTTACTCAAGAACAAGATCTGAGTACTTCTACTTTTACTCAAGAACAAGATCTGAGTACTTCTACTTTTACTCAAGTACAAGATCTGAGTACTTCTACTTTTACTCAAGTACAAGATCTGAGTACTTCTACTTTTACTCAAGAACAAGATCTGAGTACTTCTACTTTTACTCAAGAACAAGATCTGAGTACTTCTTCCACCTCTGCCAATAACACAAATAATAAGCTTCAAAATCTTTCCCACTAAACCAGTTCAGAGCGAGTAGTGCCCAAACAGCAAAACAGCCCAAAAAACAGTTCAAAGTTCAACCTTTTGTTCAATGTATTTAGATTTGAATGATTATGTGTTAATGCCTCTGTAAAGCACTTTTAATTGCCTTTCAGAAATGTGCTTTACAAACAAACTAACCTCAACCCTTCAGCCTTATCCCAATTATTAAGGCTCAACATGTAGTTTTCCTGCCACAACGAGTTACAGCGTGTAACAGCATATTTATTTAATTGCTTTTTTTTAAGGTGTGGAGATCATGGAGGAGAATGAGGATCAGACAGACCTCACTTTGAGGAGAGGAAACTTCCATGGAGACAGCTTCAGGTGAGACTTTGCTCTGCTGCCATTGTTGTATCTGCGTCTTGGCAAAATAAATGCATTATCACATTATTTAAATCACGCACAGACCTCCCTGTGAAATGTTTAAAGTGATGCAGCTTCAGAGCCACAGTTCATGTCTGACTTCTGGAGATTGTTTTAATGCTATGACTATAATCCAAGTGGTGTTAGGGTCTTCGGATGACGGGGTCACTGGTTCAATCCCCGCTTGAACCAGTGTCCTTGGGGAAGACACTTCACCCCAAAAATACTCCTGTGCGGATTGCCCACAGTATGGATTGTACATTATATTACATTTCATTTGGCAGACACTTTTATCCAAAGCGATTACAATAAGTGCATTCAACCAGGAGGGTACAGGGTAACAAGAATCATGTAGGTACATTAGTTTGAACTAAGCCAAACCATTCGAAGTGCTAGTACATTATTACAACATGTATAGAGATTTCATTGGCCGAGGTGCAGTCGGAAAAGGTGTGTTTTCAGTCTGCGACGGAAGATGTATAGCCTTTCTGCGGATCAGAAGAAAACAAACAAACATTGAGCGGCTGTCTTATTTGGAAAAGTGGAAAGAATGCATGTTTATTTCCCGAGTTTCTAATAGGCCTACTGTTGAGATTTTTTTCACATTTTGGAGGTTTTTTTTGTGGCTCGCTTCCAACCATTTGTAATCCTTCTGAAAAATACTTCCTTTCGTCCATTTTGTGTCACTTTAACAAGACTCAGCTTCTTTTTAAGACAGATGAACCAATCTGTAGCACCTAAATCCTTCAGCCAGGACTTTTCATTTCACTTTTTATTTTGCAGGAACAACCAAAACCTCTGCTCTTCATGCCATCAAAACATACTTTTATAGTCACATTTTGGAGTTTTTTTTTGTGACAGGCTTCCAGCAATTATGAATCTACTTGGAAATACTTCCTTTCGTCCATTTTGTGTCACTTCAACAAGACTCAGACGTCAAAGAAGGCATTTTTTAACCATTTTTAAGTCAGGATGGATGTAGTTCGTCGTCTTTTTGGCTCGTTCGATCTGAAAGCTTCTCCAGCGACGCCTCTCAGACGCAGAGCAGCAACAAACTGGTTCTGCGCCATCGGATCAATAAGCTGATCACATGTCTGGATGATTTGGACCCAGGAAGCGAGCTGTGTTAGAAAATGGAGACTGTTTAACGCCTCAGTCATCTGTGGAAGAGAGAGGAAGGAAAACTGTTTCAGGTGGTGAACAAAAAGGCCTGTAGTGGAAAGAGAATGTGCCTTTTCATACATAAATAATGTTCCTCTACCTCCTGTAATTCATCTGTTCACAGCCAACAAAACACTCCCTTCATTCTTGGTTATTTGACCTTTTACTTTCCGAGCTGCACAGGAAATTAAACCGTTTGCATGATGCTTGTTTACCTTCAGATATGACTGATGTCATTATGTGTTGCTGCTAGACGCACAGTGCGTATACTGTCAGATCTTCTACACTCAGATCATGTGCTTATCTTTGGTTTACACTGAATTAAGTTCTAAGAGAAGTACAGTTCTGCTTTTATTTAGTGAAGTGGTGCAGCTGGTTTTTCCGGCGAAATGTAAAACGTGTATATTTATAAAGTTGTGCAGGAATGAGTCCTAAAACCTAGAAGTGAGTCACTTCCTGATTGCGAAGTCATGTGATCATGTTGTAGTTCCTTTGTAGCCCAACATTAGCCACCTTTAGCTTAGCGGTGGTGACGTGAAGTCATGTGACCGTGCTGTAGTTCCTTTATAGCCCAACATTAGCCACCTTTAGCTTAGCGGTGGTGACGTGAAGTCATGTGACCGTGCTGTAGTTCCTTTATAGCCCAACATTAGCCTCCTTTAGCTTAGCGTGGTGACTTGAAGTCATGTGACCGTGCTGTAGTTCCTTTATAGCCCAACATTAGCCTCCTTTAGCTTAGCGGTGGTGACGGGAAGTCATGTGACCGTGCTGTAGTTCCTTTATAGCCCAACATTAGCCACCTTTAGCTTAGCGGTGGTGACGTGAAGTCATGTGACCGTGCTGTAGTTCCTTTATAGCCCAACATTAGCCTCCTTTAGCTTAGCGTGGTGACTTGAAGTCATGTGACCGTGCTGTAGTTCCTTTATAGCCCAACATTAGCCACCTTTAGCTTAGCGGTGGTGACGTGAAGTCATGTGACCGTGCTGTAGTTCCTTTATAGCCCAACATTAGCCTCCTTTAGCTTAGCGGTGGTGACGTGAAGTCATGTGACCATGCTGTAGTTCCTTTATAGCCCAACATTAGCCACCTTTAGCTTAGCGGTGGTGACGTGAAGTCATGTGACCGTGCTGTAGTTCCTTTATAGCCCAACATTAGCCACCTTTAGCTTAGCGAAGGTGACGTGAAGTCATGTGACCGTGCTGTAGTTCCTTTATAGCCCAACATTAGCCACCTTTAGCTTAGCGAAGGTGACGTGAAGTCATGTGACCGTGCTGTAGTTCCTTTATAGCCCAACATTAGCCACCTTTAGCTTAGCGGTGGTGACATGAAGTCATGTGACCGTGCTGTAGTTCCTTTATAGCCCAACATTAGCCACCTTTAGCTTAGCGGTGGTGACGTGAAGTCATGTGACCGTGCTGTAGTTCCTTTATAGCCCAACATTAGCCTCCTTTAGCTTAGCGGTGGTGACGTGAAGTCATGTGACCGTGCTGTAGTTCCTTTATAGCCCAACATTAGCCTCCTTTAGCTTAGCGGTGGTGACGTGAAGTCATGTGACCATGCTGTAGTTCCTTTATAGCCCAACATTAGCCACCTTTAGCTTAGCGGTG